CGATTAATAAAATTGATAAAATTATATCAAATATAACAGCTCGATTTTAATCAAATGTATTTAATATAATCAAACAACAGTACCCTAATGATTTTAATAATGACTTATTCGCCGAATGGAAAGTATTTCGCAAATATTTATTTACACTAAAATAACATCAAACATCTACAATTTTAACACAACGACAACAATGTATTAATTTAGTTAAAAATGGGATGATAAGAGACATGTATCCACAATTATCATTAGCTACTGAAATATTTTTATGTGCACCAATTAGTACAGCAACAGTAGAACGTGATTTTAATACAATGAATGGAATATTAACTGATCTACGATATCATGTAACAACAGAACATTTAGAACAATTAATGAGAATATCAATAGGAGGACCATCTGATTTAGATAATGATCTAAAAGATTTAATTATTGATTGTTAGAACAGAAGAAAGAGTGTAATGGTGTTGTAAAAAGAATGAATAAAAGTCTGTGTGCCTTTATTATATAGAAAAAAAATGTGGCTAGCAGCCCTCCAAAAATTTCAACCGCCTACCCGAAAAATTAAACCTAGATAAAACACGATACCAGTACGGATCTAAGATTTTTATCATAGGACATAATTTTGATCAGAAAATATGTTTCGAACTTCCTTTGAGGTCGTATTTCATCACTGGATTTCGTGAGAAAGTTTTCTCAAAAAACGACCAGTGTAAGCAACAATGTTGTTTCTATTGTTAGGTCATGAAATGAATGGAAATTGGTATTCGTGGTCAATAGATTCAACTCCAAACGATTATGTTTTGGCATGGCGTCATACTTATAAAATATTACTAAACAAAGGTATAGATGCAACAAAACTTCAATAGGTTTGGAGTATAAATCGTAAAGACTTTGGTCAGTGTACTGCAGAAGAATATTGGGTTGGAGAAAATTATACACGTTGGCTAGGAATTAATGGATTTAATGGGGGTTCAAGTGCAAATTGGAGAAAATGGGAATGGCCAAATGAAATTCTTGATAATATGATTGGTCGATTACACAAGTTATCATCAACAAAACCGATGTCTCTAAATGCATATGCAACAGTCGGTGTACGAACAGAAAAGACTACAGATGTGCAGTCAAGGATGTGGGGTGGGGTGTGGGTGTCAGTGTGGGTGTGGGTGGGTGTGGGGTGTGGGTCTGGGTCTGGGTATGTGGGTGTGAGTGTGAGTGTAGGTGTGGGTGTGGGTGTGGGTGTTGGTATGGGTATTGGTCTTTCTTCCACCCACACCCACAGCCACATCCACATCCACACCCACACCCTCACACACCCACACCCATCCACACGCACACCCACACTCACACCCACCCCCACCTACC